AGGTTTCATGGACCTTGAACCTCCACACATAAGCGGGTGGGGGTGAGTGTAGGTTGCTCAGGGCCAGGAGGAGAAGGAAGGAGGAGGAGAGGGCGGTTAAGGCAGACCTTAGTGGGGCCCAACACCTCACAGTTATAGAAGTCATGCTGCTCCGGGGTCCTCTTGAGTCTGGAGAGGCGGTGCCAGGACAGGTTGTCAAGCTGGGGTCGCCAAGCAGCTTGGCCGCAGTGGGGGCTGTGAGGATTACAGTGTGAGGTCCTGCCCACCTAGGCTCCAAGGCTTGTGGTTGTAGGTTCTTAAGGAGGACCGAGTCACCAGGGTGAAGGGCTGGTCTTGGGAGTCCTGGTCGGTCGGCTCTGGCTTGGGCAGAAACCTGTTCTCGTGTTCTCGGAGCAATTGCCTGGTTAAAGACAGATATGGGAGATACGTACCCAGGGGAGGGGGATCAGTAAGAAGATGGTGGTTGAGCAAGAAGAGCCAAACGGGCTCAAGAAAGTGGGGCTCCTTGGTGTAGCTGGAGTTTGGTCAGGGCCATGGGCAGGAGGTCCGGCCAGGAGCTGCGAATTTCTAGAGAGAGTTTAGTTAGATGGTTCAATAGGTTGGAATTGAGTGGCTATGATGAGGGTTCAAGCCAGTGACAGACATCCAGCAGGATGTAGAGGAGGAGGGACTGATGTCAGAGAGTAGATGGAAAGTTGTGTTGATGAGGGTGGGCATAGGAGTAGGTCCAGGGTTCATAAATAGAGAGTGACACTAGAGGATTTCCCATCCAGACAGTAGAATTGATGACTCCCTCATCATTCCGTGTCTGTTTCACCTGAAAATATGAAAAACCTGAGCAAAATTGGAGGGTGCCTTGCCAGGTAAGAGCCTGTGAGGAATGATGGGTCATCCGGTCCTAGATGGTGTCGCCGAATCTTCTTCGGGGATGGTGGGAGGCACTCGGTGAGCCTGAGAGAGGTAGGTATTGCAGCGAAAGTGGGAGAAAACGTTAGAATGCGCTGATATCCAAAGGAAAATGGAAGGAGCAGTGGAAGCCAGGGACCTGGAGGCTGGAGAAAAGGCGGAGAGGGAGGGAGCAGGTCGCGCAGCCTGTTCCCAGGCCTCTAGCAGCTTGGATTTTAAAACTGCCGCATTTTTCCTTTGGGGAGTTTGGAGGGGGATGGGGCGAGGTCAGAGCAGTTTTCAGTTCAGAGGAGGGGACAGTTGTGGCGGAGAGAAGGAGAAAAGGCGTTCACAGCGAAGACTGAGGTAGGCGACGACTGAGCTAGGCTACTGTGGTCTGGGACAACAGGGCCCCATGACGGGATGCATGGCAGTGGAGGATCGGTGTCCCTGTAAAGGGAGGGGGCCAGGAGTGGGAGGAGCAGGGAAGCTGAAGGGCTCAGAGTGAGCTGCAGAGTGTCCACTAGGATGGTGAGGATGTCTCGTCCTAACAGGGGCATGGGGCATGCTATCATCAAGGAGGCAGGGAAGGGGTCCAGTGGCCAGAGGGCAGGTGGATTTGCCGTCAATACCCATGTCCAAGATCTTGGAAGGATAAAGGGGCCCCAAAAAGGAGGGCAGGACAGAGAAGGCAGCCCCCGTGTCAACCGGGAAGGTGACCTACTACCTTCATTGTGACCCGAGGCTCAGCAAGGGGATTGGAGTCATCGAGGCTGGGCTTCTTCAGTCTTCAGCCAGTTCCAACATGGCCAGCGGGTGGGTCCTGGACTGGAAGGGTGGTCCCCCCACGCTGAGGCGTAAGGGGCCCGCCACTTTTCCAGGGCAGTCACTCTTCCAGTGACCATTTTGACCGCATGCCGGGCAGGGCTTGGTCGGAGCTCGGGGCCAGGGGCACTGCATTGCCCAGTGGCCTTCATTTCCACATTTGAAGCATTCTCCGGTGGCGTTCCTTTCATTGCACCCCCACCGCGCACAGCCCCCTTAGGGCCATGGTGGCTGCCGTCCACCTCAGGGCCACAAACAACTAAGGTGTGTCTGCAGGTCTACCTCCTGTGGAAGGCAGGCCTCCCATTCTGACTGTGCCTGCTCCTCCAGGGCATTAAGAACCTTCAAGGCCATTTTTCACTCGATCTCGGACCTGGGTTTGAGGACTAATAAAGACCTTAAAGGTCGGGTTAGAGAGTGGGGGGCATAGATTCAGACTATGCCCTCAGTTCCTGATGGGACTATGGCAGGGGTAGAATGGGCGCAGAAATGGAAGAGGCTGTTGTGGAGCTGACGTTCTTAGGAGCTGGGCTCTAGGGGAGAAGGAAGCTTCTCGTTAAGAGGGTCTGAAGAGAGCACAGCTGCAACCTCTCGCAAAGGGAACTGGTCGGCCACCTGTGAATTAAAGTGCTGGCAGTCATGGGGGCGGAGCGCACAGAGGAAGGCGGGCAGTTAGACCTTACAGAGGGCACTGCATGGGGTACTGGTTACTAAGGAAGGCTGTAAGGGGAGGGGAGAGCGCGAGAGAGGTGGCCTGGGTGGGCTTGGGAGAGGTATTGGCAGTTGAGTTTAAAAGCTGCAACCTCCCAGGGGCAGAACGGAGGAGGAAGGACAGAAGGAAGGTAGAGCAGGCAGAGGCGGCAGGGGACTTGAGTTGCCAGCTCCCGCAGTGGCTATGGCTTTAGCGGCTGCGGCAGTGCGCGGACAGACCAACTGCGCGGCGCCGGAGGCATGCAGGGACGGAGGTGGGGTTGTGAAAGGCGGTTTGAGTTTTCGGCCGAGGTGGGGCAGGGGGAAGAGGGGAGGCGGGGTCAGTGGGTCCACGGAAGGCGTGGCTGGAGGAGAGTCCGGCAGGGAGGGAGGAGGGGAGAGTGTGGACGGACAGGGGCACGAGGTCCGTGGGAGAGTGGGCGGCTTTCGCTAGGGGAATTCGGGGGAGTTCTCCGGTGGAGGGGGTGAGGGGACGCGGAGACAATGGCGGTGCTGTCGCCGCATCCCACACACAGCACATGAACCCACCCCCACATGCACCGCACACATCTGGGGCTCGGCGCGGTGCAGGGACAGCCAGGAGGGAGGAGGAAGGGCGGAGCGAGGAGAGATGGCGGAAGGAACTTTGGGGGAGGGACGGGGAACGCAGAGAGATGGAGAGAGGCTGAGAGAGAGAGACTTGGGCAAATTTCCCAGTTCGCTGGCAGAAATTACTGAGGTCGGTGTGACGGTACTGGGGCTACAGAAAAAGGACGCAGGTCCGGGACAGGCCCCGTGTTTAGCCAGATCAGCGAGCAGGCACCCTAGAGGTGTGCTCAGGTCAGGTTTGGAATTTGGATTCCCCCTGTGCTTGATCCCTGTGGCCTGTAGCGGGGCTAAAGGCTGGCGTCCCAGCGGTTTAACCCACGCTATGGAGGGACAGAGGGACCGTGGGCGGGGTAGAGGCGTCCCTGCTACCCCCCCAGATCCGGAGGAGCCTTCCTGGAAGGGTCCGGAGAGGCAATCTCTGACATGGCCACGGTTTACGGACAGAGATGCCGGCGGGCGGGCGGCCACATGGGACCGGCACGGGGGCGGGGCGGGACTCACTGCTGATGCTGCCAAACTGGGAAAAGTTGCTGAGCTGAAGAGATGCGGTCCTGATGGGTCCAGAGCCACGAGGAGGGAGAGGCGGGCACCCAGAGCCGTGGAGGGACGGCCAAATGGAGTGCTCGCGCCACCCGGGTTTCAAGGCACCAAATGTTAGGTTAGGTGGCACAGGAGGCAGCGCAAGAAATAGAGTCCAGTGAATCAGAGAAGAAAGGAAAGGAAAAGGTTTATTCTGCGTCCCCGGGAGACCCACGTACCCCAAGGACAGGGCACGAGGATTCACGCCAACAGGGAGGGGGGCGCTTTTTTTATACTGCGGTTGGGTGAGGGGCGGGGACATGAGCTGAGGAATTCTCTGCTGCAGGGAATGGGCGGAATATTCAGGACAAAGTTCTTATCTGTGTGGGGGTATGTGAATTCAGGGAGAAGAAGCTGGTATCTGTGTCTGGCACCTTGATCTGTGAGAAATTCCAGGGGAAGTCCATTATCTTGTCATGTCTGCATGTATCCGATCCTGGGCTCTCTCCAACCTAACATAAAGGAGCTGGGGATTCAGTGACAACAAAGAGGACAGCCATGGGCTAGGTTTTTTGTTGAGTATGGCAGTGCTGTTTATTGAAAACCAATGACAGTTTAGTGACCATCCAAAATAGGGGAGGAAAAGAGTACTGCTTAAATCTGCCTTATTTCATAAGGGAACCGAAGAGTATTTCCCTTTTATTTTGGCCTCATTTCCAAGGTCCGTACTTCCTAATAATTCAACTCAGAACAGCATGAGAATTACAACATAGCAAAAAGAAAAGTCATAGAAATGAGTGATTGATTGGATGTAAAGTGACAAACCAGGTGAATCAAGAGATAGATGAAAATGGAAGGTTTTACATGGACAGGATATGACTTATTGACAGTCCAGATTTAGCCCTGAAGAGGAGAAAAAAAATGAATAATGTTTTGCCGGGGTTCTTGTTTCGGCATTAAGAAGGGTTCAGCAATCTGGAAAAGGGGCTGTGTGTAACTTAAGAGTCCAGAGACGAAGCATAATTTTGAAAGGCATTGGGGGTCAGAGGAGCCTAGCTAAAGAAACTAAGTTCTCCTCATCTCAGGATCCCATGCTTTTTATTAACACAAATTGTCCTGAGGTGAGGCATAGATATACACTTCAAAGGGTAGGGTTTGTATACACTGTCCATTGTCAGAATGGAAGAATTAGCCTAGGGCAGTGGTCAGCAAACTGCAGCTCGGGAGCCACATGCGGCTCTTTGGCCCCTTGAGTGTGGCTCTTCCACAAAATACCACGTGTGGGCGCGCACGTACAGTGAGATTGAAACTTCGTGGTCCATGCGCAGAGTCGGTTTTCGGTCTGGGTGAGTCTGTTTTGAAGAAGTACTGTTGATATTTGGTTCTGTTGACTAATGAGTTTGCTGACCACTGGCCTAGGGCTGTTCATCAGGTGTTTGGCCAGAAGGAGGCAATAACATGCAGATTAAGATGCCCGGAGCTGTCTGGCAGCAAACAATTTAATGCATCCTTTTCAGGTTTGGGGAAATGCCCTTGCCACTCCAGATGATTCAGCCTGCTGTCATGCTGGAATTGGCTTCCGGCAATGTTTCTCAGTTTTTGTTTGATAGATGACCTGTGAGAGATGTTTCTTTTGTTCTTGGATCATTTTCAAGCTGGCAATGCCCCTCAGTTCAAGTCTAGATGATCTGAAAGTCACAGTAAAGGAAGAATCAGTATCTTGCACATAGCAGGCATTCAGTAAACATTTGTGGAATGAAGAAATTAAGGTTTTTCAAGAGTTAATATGCATAAATTGGGAAAAGAATCAGGAGAATCAAATCTAATAGTAAAGAAGAAATGGGCTATGGTACCAATGCCCATTCACTGAAAACCAAACTACTCAAAAGATGAAAAATGGGGCAATGAATCCCTGGTTTTGTTTGAGTTATCATTTCTGAGAGTTAACTGTTATCTTGGTTTCTTTTTAAGGCCAGAATTACCCTCTACAGTTCAAATCAGGGGGGAAAAAGAGATTGGTTAATTATGGCAAAGGCAAAAAACTTGAGGCTTCTTGGCTCTTGTTATCTTGTCCATGACCAGCTATGAAAGCCAGGATTCCATGGGGAAGACTTACTTTTATTCCATTTTTCCTTAAAAATTCCAACCACAAGGTCTACAGTTGACAGACCCAGTGATATTTCTCGACAATTGTTCCAACCTCTCCCATTCTACTGCAAGTGGCTCTATTTCCTTTTTAATTGTTTTATTGCTTAAAGTATTACAAAGAGTATTACATATGTCTCCTAAGTGGCTCTATTTTCTACTCAGTAGAGCACCTGTCCGGTCTGCTGAATCTGGATGTAAGGTAATTACCTTCCAGACAGGAGCTATGAAGAGGAAGGCCAGGCTCTGAATTCCCAGCTTGACCAACTTTTTCAGGGCCTGGCCACATCAATGATCTCTCACTTTCTCTTTTTATCTTCAGACTTTCTCTGCCTGTTTCTGTCCGTGATTATTCACATGCTTGGGTTTCCCCTAGCCTAGAAAATATTCTTTATTTTGCCTCTCCTCCACAAAACTTCTTAAAGAGAACTTTTTACTTCCTACTTTAACTTTCTGACCTTCCATTGGCCTCTTGGCCATAGTAATATGGCTTCCACACCCATTGTGCTAAAGAAAACTGCTCTGGCAGACGTCACTAAAAGTATGAGTGCTCCTACCTCTTGGGAGCCTGCCTGTGCCTTTCCTTTCCTCCCTTCCTTTTCCTTAGGCACGTTACCTTTGCCTTTATCTCCTAAGCTCCAAGTGTCCTTCTTCTGCCTCTGTAACTTGTTTCTTCAGCCTATGCAGTCCAGCTGGCTCACTTAAAAACAAAACAAATATATGAATGTTAATATATAAGGCCATTGAATTCTTCATCTTATTTGAATTTTCTGCTGGACTCTGTAGAATACTTCTTTCCTGGCCTCTTGAGATATTTGCTCTTTGTTTTTTATACCTCTCTGGTCAGTTTTTTGTGTTTTTTTTTCATTCACTCCCCAAATTCTGAACATCTCTGAAGTGTTGGGTTTCCTAAAGTCTCTTCTCATACCAACACACTCCCTGCTATGAATCTCCTTCTTTAGCTTCAGGTACTGAATGGATATTCTCAAATCCTCATGTCCTGGCTGTGTCCCCATTCCTGGAACTCTCTTTTTTGTTTTAAAACCAAAATTTATTTAAACTTTTGGGTTTTGAAGACTATAGTAAATAGTGCACAGTCCACTTCCTCTCAGACTAACTATTGGGGGTCAGAGTTATGAGCTGTTTCAGGGCCTGCGGGACCGCTCTGAGAGGTAGGTGGGGGCTCCTCTCTGGAGCCAGAAAGCACTAAGTCTCTTACAGTGGGTAATGGAGCTCTCTCTTAAATAAGCACAGTGGTTTTCTTAGAAAACAAATCTTGCCACTACAAGATTACTTTCATCCATCTCACTTCCACTAATTCCGGCATTTCTTTGCTGACAGGAAAGGAAGTTAGGAGGAGGGATGATAAGCCTGTTACAGACCCATTGGCATTGGAGATAGACTGTCCATAAGCAATCCTCTAAGTAAAAACTCATGGGAAAAGTCTCCGGCAGACACTGTGTGCCAAGAAAATAAAGAGATGATCCTGAAGACAGCTGCAGCAGTAGCTTCTAGAAGGAAGCAGAGTTGGAAGTACCACCTGGGAAGTTCAGTTTGAGTTTGAGTTTTTGGGGTCAGTTTGAGTTTTTACTCATTTGAGACCTAGCGTGCAGCTGGTTCCCAAGTCCCAAAGGGCCACCTCCCAGGGTTCAGTAGCCTCCTCTTAAATTTCTGCAAGCATCCCAAACACAACAGTGTGAGAACTGATCTGATCCTTCTGCTTGGACTCCGATTCTAGTTAACACAGTGGTTCTCAACCTTCTGGCCCTTTAAAACAGTTCCTCATGTTGTGACCCCCAACCATAAAATTATTTTCGTTGCTACTTCATAACTGTAATGTTGCTACTGTTATGAATCGTAATGTAAATATCTGATATGCAGGATGGTCTTAGGCGACCCCTGAGAAAGGGTCATTCGACCGCCAAAGGGGTGGCGACCCACAGGTTGAGAACCGCTGATTAACAGCAGCACCTTTCACCCTCTTGGCCCAGATGGAAACTTGCTACTGGGGAGTCATCCCTCCTTAGCAGTGCCCCCTTCAGTTCTAGGCCAGAGACCTTTCCCCAGGCTGGCTCCTTCCTATGGCGGACCAGTCCTCTACCAGCTTCAGACCTCTAGTCTCTACTCCATCCAATCTGTATGTCACAATGCAGCCTGAGAAACCTGTCCAAAACACATCCTGATCATTTGTCACCTTCCTTCCTTAAAACCCCCACGGATAATAGCCAGGCTTTTAGGGAGGCATCCGAGGTGCTTTACAACCTACCTTGACCTGTCTTCCATTTTCACCTCCGGTGACTCCTTCCCTCATCCAAGCAACAAGGGACACTTGGTAATCTTTCAAACACACCATGCTAAGTATGTGCTGAGTACCAACTATGGTACTATGCACCAGGCACTAACCTAAACTTCGGAGTATAGTGAACATGAAAGGAAGGCCCATGCTCTCATGCGACTCACATTTTAGCAGAAAGAGCCAGTGAATAAACAAGACAATTTCAGATAGTGATAAGGTGCTATGAAGACACATGGGGTGGAGGGTGAGGTCAGTAATTTTAGATACAGTGCTCCGGGATGGCCTTGAATGAGGAGGAGCCAGACCAGCAAAGATGTGGTGCAGCGTGTTTGGGGTCATTTGATCAGAACGTGGCAAAGGCCTTGAAGCAAGAACGAGCGTGGCAGCTTGGCGTTTTGGAGGTTCCAAAACGAAGCAATGAGGCTGAACGTTACTTATATGCCTGAGGGGTAGGGGTGGGAGAGCAAAGCCCTAAATAGGGTGGGGCCCGATCACCAGGGGCCTTGTAGGCCATGGAAAGGAAGTTTGGAGACTATTTTACAGGCAAGAGGAATCTTTTGAGGATTTTTAGTGAAGGAATGACGTGGTCGCCAACCTGCGGTCCGCGGACCGCTGGGGGTCCGTGAGGTCCGAAAGGCTGGCGACCACAGCTCTGATTTACCTTTTAAAAGCTCACTCTGGTGCCTCCTGAAGCAGGGGTTTCGGTGGAGCAGAAGGTAAGTCCCGATGCCAGTGCCATGCCTTCAGGTTTATGCTCAGGCATCCCTCAGCCTAGAATGACTGTACTGAGACGGTTCCCAGGGTCCAGGAAGCTGAAAAGAGGGCCCCTCACTGCATCTCTCTGAATCCAGGTCAAGCCTTGTTTAGCGATCAGGAAGATATGGGTAGCTGTCCCCTAAGATGCTTGCTTCACCAACAATTCAGTCATTAAAACAGCACACTCACCTGGCGCAGGAGACACTGAGGAGAGTCCCACAAGGTCCTCCCCCCACCCCCCACTCCATCCCACCCCACCCCCCACTCCATCCCACCCCACCCCCCACTCCATCCCACCCCACCCCCCACTCCATCCCACCCCACCCCCCACCCCATCCCCGTCCGCTGTCAAGGGACCTTTTTCCTGTTCCCTCCACCATCTCCTAACTCAAGGGGCAAGTCTCAGATTATGTTTCGCGCCGCGGAGCAGTGACACACCAGGCCCGAGCGTAGGCGGGACAGAGGAGCCTTCTCCCTAAGGTGAACGAGGCCACCTCGCAACGGACAGCCCAGCCACACCCAGGCCGGAGAGCCGCTGAGAAAAGGGCGTCGCCGCCGGCTTCAGGGCGGTATATGGACTACAACTCCCAGCAGACTCTGCGCGCAAAGTGCTGATCCCTCCGCTTCCAATTTGCCCAGCCCGCTGCGCCCACTGTTGCCCGCCAAGAGCCAAGTCCAGGTTATTTTCCAGGACCCGAAGTCCGTCTTCTTATCATATTTCTGAAGAGGGACCGCTTGGAGCCCTGGAGGAGAAACGGACTTCTTTGAGGAGAAACGCGGAGGCAGACCATCGAAGAGACGCCGCTCTGGCGCTGCGATTTTCGCGCGCTTTGGCGCAGGGTGTTGTGGGTAGCGCGCCCAGAAGGGAGCCAAGAGAGAGGTTTTGTGATCGTGCCGCCCGCAGGGCCTGCGAAGATGTTGGAAGACGAGTCCCACGCCGAGGGGTCGGCGGTGGTCGCCGCGGCCGGGGAGGCGCTGCAGGCCTTGTGCCAGGAGCTGAACCTGGACGAGGGGAGCGCGGCCGAAGCCCTGGACGACTTCACCGCCATCCGGGGCAACTACAGCCTAGAGGTGAGCGGCGGCAGGTGGGCTGCTGGATCCCACCCGCGCCAGGCCCCACCCCGGCTCCGCCCCCACCCCCACCCCCACCCTTCCCTGTGGGGCGGTGGGAGTTTCCCCACCCGGAAGGGTCGCCGCCCAGCCGGGCGCTGCCGAGTGTGACATTGGAAGGAAGGGCGAGTATAGACCATCCCGTCCATTTTTCATTTGAGGCGGGAAAGTGAAGTTCGGAAAAGGAGCAGTTTGCCCAAGGTCACAAGTTCCTCAGAGAATCCCTCGACTCCAGACTAGACTTCCCTCCACCCGCCAAACTCTACAAACTTCCGGGCACTGCCCTTACATCTATTAACAATTAATACGATAATGATAAAAGCTAAAATGAATTGTGTGCCAATACATGACTGCCCAGCGCTTTAAATCTCACTTAGTTCTCGCTACAACCCCTTGAGCACCTTCTGTGACCCCCTTTCCGCGGGTGAGAAGCTGAGCCCCCAAGAGGTTAAGGCACTTCGTTGCCTCAGGCCACACACGGGGTTGGCGGTGGAGCCAGACTGCGGAGTCGGAGCCTTTTAGCCACGACACCCTTCCGCCTCCCGAGGGCGGGGTATGGGTTGCTCGCTCAGCAATCAGATCAAAGGCGATGTCCATACAAGCTCTCTCACCTCCAGGTCCCTCCTCTCTCAGACGGGGACACTGAGATTGTCCTGATGCGTTAGCACCGTGTCTCTGGCTGTCATTATATAGATGATAGAAAATAGAATAAATGTAGGCAGTCATTATTAGGTTTTCCCCAGCCACTCTTGCATTTAATCCTCACAACAGCCCAGTGAGCATGGCAAAGCAGTATTATACCTGCTTTCCAGGTAATACCAAGGCCCAGAGGATTGCCTTGCCCTGGATCATTCTAGTTATTATAGGAACTCGGGTAAGCACAGGCTCTGTAGAGGCGGTAGAATTGTGGTGGAATGTGTTTCAATAATTACTCTAGTGGCTTTGCATTCAAAGGTTCTCAGGACCCAAGGGGCCTGGACTCACCCATAGAGTGCTCCACTGACTCACTAAACAGTGGAATCATTAATTGTGCTGCATTGAAAGGCATGGAGTTGGAAATTTGCAGTTGTGTGTGTCTGTATATAAGGGCAAAGCACCCAAGAGTGACTCTTGTATGTCTCCAAGGTAGGACTGGGTAGACTGGGTAAAGGACATAGCCAGTATGCATCTGTGGGAAGCATGACTGGAAAGCTGAGGAAAGAATAAGAAAGTAAGGGATATTATGAATTATGGCCTCTCAATGCAAACAAACTGATATTTTAGAATATTTTTTTATTGATTTCAGAGAGGAAGGGGGAGGGAGAGAGAATCATTGATCGGCTGCAACCCCAGAAACCAGGAATTGAATCTGGACCTCCTGGTTCATTGGTTGATGCTCAAACATGGAGCTACACCAGCCAGGCAACAAACTGATTTTCAAAAGCCTGAGAAAGCATTTCTGACATATCAGGTTCTCATTTGGTCTTAGTGAATAAGCATTTACTGAGTGCCAGGTGTAGGCCATAGTCTAGGCCAGTGATGGCGAACCTATGACACGCCTGTCAGAGGTGACACGCAAACTCATTTTTTTGGTTGATTTTTCTTTGTTAAATGGCATTTAAATATATAAAATAAATATCAAAAATGTAAGTCTTTGTTTTAGTATGGTTGCAAATATCAAAAAAATTTCTGTATGTAACAGGGCACCAGAGTTAAGTTAGGGTTTTTCAAAATGCTGACACACCGAGCTCAAAAGGTTCGCCATAACTGGTCTAGGCATTAAACTAGGCATCTCTTTCAGATTCTTGAATATGCCAAGTGTTCCCACTTACGTGCTTTCTCCATTCCATTCCCTCTATGGGAAAACTTTCCCCTCACCCCCTATCCCAGGGAAAATTGAAGAGCTAGATCTCCAATTAAGGCAGAGTTGATCAAGACAATATTAAATGCTTGATTTAGAAAGCATAGATGTGTGAATTAAGATTTCCTTTTTTTTAATTAAGATTTTCTGATTGTTTTTTTCTACCCAAAGTGTTTTATTTTCTTCTGTCTTTTGTTTTTGGTGAAAGGCTCTTGAAGTAGGCATTTTCATATATCTGCTGCTTCCTAAGAACCCCTCTCCCCAGCCATACTTCTCTAGTCTACCTATTAGTAACAAGCTTCTACTTACATTTTCCTCTATCATTTCTTTTTATAGCATAGTAGAGGCCTGGCGCATGAAATTCGTGCATGGAGGCAGAGGGAGGTCCCTCAGCTCAGCCTGTGCCCACTCGCAGTCCAGGAGCCCTCGGAGGATGTCCTTAGCGCTGCCGCAGAGGTTGTCCTTAGCACTGTCGGACATCCTCAGCACTGCTGCAGAGGCGGGAGAAGCCCCCACCACCTCCGCTGTGCTTGCCAGCTGTGAGCCTGACTTCTGGCTGAGCGGCACTCCCCCTGTGGGAGCACACTGACCACCAGGGGCAGCTCCTACTTTGAGCGTCTGCCCCCTGGTGGTCAGTATGCGTCATAGAGATTGGTTGTTCCACCGTCCAGCTGATTTGCATATTAGCCTTTTATTATATAGGACTAGAGGCCCGGTGCATGAAATTCGTGCACAGGGGAGGGGGTTCCCCTCAGCCCAGCCTGCACCCTCTCTAGTCTGGGACCCCTTGGGAGATGTCCCTCTCACAATCTGGGACCACTGGCTCCTAACTGCTCACCTGCCTGCCTGCCTGCCTGATAGCCCCTCACAGCGCTCCACCCCCCCCCCCCCCCCCCCCCCCCGCTGGCCTGGTCTCCCCTCACAGCCCCCCACTGCCGGCCTAGTTGCCCATGCAGCATGCTGTTCGGTCGTTTGGTTGTCTCTCACTAACCCCCCTGCCAGCCTAGTTGCCCCATGCAGCCTGCTGTTCGGTCGTTTGGTCGTCCCTCACTAACCCCCCTGCCGGCCTGGTCCCCCCACACAGCCTGCTATTCGGTCATTACTGTGAGGATGTCCTGACCAATTTGCATATACCCTTTTATTAGTATAGACTAGAGGCCCGGTGCACAAAAATTTGTGCACTGGGGGGGGGGAGGGAGGTCCCTCAGCCCGGCCTGTGCCCTCTCACAGTCTGGGACCCCTCGGGAGATAATGACCTGCTGGCTTAGGCCTGCTCCCAGGTGGCAGAGGGCAGGCCTAATCCCTAGGTGCAGCCCCTGGTCGGGCTCAGAGCAGGGCCGATTGGGGAGTTGGGCGCCGCCCCCTGTCATGCACAGACCAGGGCGATCGGGAGGTTGTGATGCCACCCTCAGTCACGCTCAGGGTAGGGCCGATTGGGGGGTTAGGGCACCGTCCCCTGTCACACTCAAGGCAGGGTCGATGGGGAGCTTGTGGCGCCACCCCCTGTCACGCACAGAGCAGGGCCAATCAGGGGGTTGGGGCGCTGCCCCCTGTCACTCACAGAGCAGGGCCCATCAGGGGGGTTGGGGCTCTGTACCCTGTCACGCACAGAGCAGGGCCCATAGGGGGTTAGGGCGCTGCCCTCTGTCACGCACAGAGCAGGGCCCATCAGGGGGTTGGGGCGCCGCCCTCTATCACCCACAGAGCAGGGCCGATCAGGGGGTTGGGGCACCGCCACTGTCACATTCAGGGCAGGGCCGATGGGGAGGTTATGGCTCTACCCCGTCACACACAGAGCAGGGCCGATCAGGGGGTTGGGGCGCCGCACCCTGTCACACACAGAGCCGCAGGGCGATCAGGGGGTTGGGGAGCTCCCCCCTATCAGGCACAGAGCAGGGCTGATCAGGGGGTTGGGGCGCCTTCCCCTGTCACGAACAGAGCAGGGTGGATAGGGAGGTTGTGGCCCCGCCCCCTGTCACACACAGAGCCGCAGGGCGGTCAGGGGGTTTGGGCGCTGCCCCCTGTCACACTGATCCCAGTGCCGGGAGGCCTCGCGGCTCCGCTGATCCCGGTGCTGGGAGGCATATTACCCTTTTACTATATAGCATAGAGGCCTGGTGCACGGGTGTGGGCCTGCTGGTTTGCCCTGAAGGGTGTCCTGGATCAGGGTGGGGGTCCCCACTGGGGTGCCTGGCCAGCCTGGGTGAGGGGATGATGGCTGTTTGCAGCTGGTCACACATCCTTCAGGGTGGGGGTCCCCACTGGGGTCCCTGGCCAGCCTGGGTGAGGGGATGATGGCTGTTTGCAGCTGGTCACACACCCTTCAGGGTGGGGGTCCCCACTGGGGTGCCTGGCCAGTCTGGGTGAGAGGCTGAGGGCTGTTTTCAGGCTGGGGGTGACTGAAGCTCCCAACTGCTCCTTTTTTTCTTTTTTTTTATTCTGGGCCAGCTTTAGCTCTGAGGCTTGGCTCCAGCTCTTAGGCCTCCGCTGCTGAAAGTAGGTTTCTGGCCTTTGCTTACAATGTTGTGATCCTGCTGGCTGAAGCCCGGTGGACTAAAGCAGGTTTCTGGGGTTTTGTTTAGCTTCTGTATTTGTTACATAGTTGCTTAGAGTTGCAGCTTAGAGGCCTGCAGTAGCAGGCGGAGAACGTTGGAGTCCTCCATCACTGAAGCAAGCAAGCCTCATGTTAGTTTCAAGCTGCCTGGCTGCGGCCGCCATCTTGGCTGGCAGTTAATTTGCATATTGCCCTGATTAGCCAATGGGAAGGGTAGCGGTCGTACGCTAATTACCATGTTTCTCTTTTATTAGATAGGATATCTCACCAGTTACAGATAATAGTGTCTGTTCTTCTTAGACTTGGAGTTCCATGAGGTCAGAAACCATCTTTGTATTTCTAAAACCTAGCATCAAGGACTCAAAATAGATATTATAGGTGACTTTATTTTTTAAAGGAAAAAACTCAAAGCAATAATTCTGGTACTTAAATTTTTTTTATCTTAATGGTGTTTTCATATAGTAGTCTGTATCCAAAGGCTCTATTACACTTTCTATTCCCAAATAATTCATTAATTAAGTCTTTAAAAAATATTCAACCTTAAGCTTACCTTCCTCTCTTTTTTTTTTTACCTCCCTCTTTTAATGCCTTGGACAAATAAGACTTTTTACTACTTTAGGGTAGGAACACTGGATTTTAGCTTTATTTGTGGCCACTCATTTCTTCCCACCCCTTTTGGATTATTGCAAGAAATCTATCAGTCTTTTCATCCTTCTAGAGCAGAAGTGAGGAACCTTTTTTTTTTTTTGCTAAAGGGCCATTTGGATATTTATAGCATATCTGCAGGCCATACAAAATTATCAAGTTAAAAATTAGCCTGCTAGCCCTAGCTGGTTTGGCTCAGTGGGTAGAGCGTCAGCCTGCAGACTGAAGGGTCCCGGGTTCAATTCCGGTCAAGGGCACATGCTTGGGTTGCGGCCTTGGTCCCCAGTGGGGGGCATGCAGGAAGCAGCCGATCAATGATTCTCTCTCATCATTGATGTTTCTATCTCTCCCTCTCCCTTCCTCTCTGAAATAAATAAAAATATACTTTAAAAAAAATTAGCCAGCTATATTTAGTCAAACTTTTAATTAACCCACCCCTCATGCCTTGGCAGGGCCAGACTAAATGATTTTGCGGGACTTATACAGCCTGAGGCCAGACGTTCCCCACCCCCTGTTCTCCAGTCTGGTCTTAAAGAAGATCTGCAAAGCAGTGAATAGCAGCAGTAGTATGCCAATGGACATGGACAACAGGGGGATGAGAGCATGAGTGTGTGGGGGGGAAGTTGAGGTTAATGGGGCGGATGAAGACACATTTGTAGTACCTTAACTAATAATTAAAAAAAAAAACAGTAGTATGTTGTGCTTTGAAATTTGTGTCTACCTCTTAACTTGAATTTCACATAGAGATCATCAGTGAAATCATGAAGTGATTCTAGCTTGAATATATTTCAAATCTACCTCAGAGAATTGCGTTGAATTATCAAATGCCACCTTTTTTGTAGCATTATAAATTGAGATATCTGCTAAAATAGAGAGCCATACTTACTATTTTAAAGATTGGGATAAATAATTCCCCCAATTTTTACCTCACAAAAATGACAGTCTCCTTTATGTTGTTCAAGATAGATGTTTTTATGTGTAATTCCCTTGTCATCTTTCTACTGTTCTTTCCTTTCTCTGCCAAACTAGTTAAAAAATGGTGGAAAGGAATTTTGGCATCATTAAGGCCATGACTGGTATCTTAAAATCGAGAAAGCTAGCGCTGAGAAATTTTAAGACAACTCTTTCAGTAATATTATATTTGAGTATAAGTGAGAGATCTAGCTTTGGATTAATACTGATTTAGCATGTTATGCAGGACTGAGAATAAGAAGTTTTACACCTACTATTGTAGCTAACTAAGCTTTGTGACCTTAGGCTAATAATTCCTATCTCTGGCCTGTTATATACAGAATGAATATTAGACTAGATAATTCAAAGATTTCTTCTGGTTCTAGAGTTCAAGCATTTTAACATAATAAATTCATTTTGCTACTTGTCTTTTTCCTGCCAGGGAGAAGTTATACACTGGTTGGCATGTTCATTATATGTTGCATGCCGCAAAAGCATTATTCCCACAGTTGGAAAGGGTATCATGGAAGGAAATTGTGTTTCACTTACCAGAATACTACGTTCAGCTAAATTAAGGTAAAGCGCTTTGATTTTTCAAACATTGTTTTATAAGTTCTAAATTGGTTTTTAGAATTTAATTTCTCTTTATTTTAAAACATTTAATTTCATTCTTTTTTTTTTTTAACGTCATTGTTTTGTAAGCTTGTTATCATATTGCTATTCTTTCCCAGTTCTCCTTCCACTGCCTTTCTTCCTCAAATTCTTACTTCAACTAAGGCCTATGTACTAAATCTTTTTTTCCCTATAATTTTTTCATTAATTTTTAAAATTAATTTCAAGCACAAAGAATACCCATGTACCCTTGATCCAGATTCACCTATTATTAATATTTGCTTTATTATTTGATCTTTTTCTCTTAAATAATATTTTTTCCTCAACCATTTCAAATTAAGTTGTGTACATTATAGCCCTTTACACCTAAATACTTGAATTATGTGTTTTCTGAAATAACTATAGTACAGTTATCAACTCCAGCAAAGTTAACATTGATACAGTAATTTTATATAATCTGTCATCTCTATTCTAGTTTTATTAGTTAAGCCAATAATTTTTCTTTATAGCATTTTTTTTCTTTAAGTACAATCTCCAATCTAGAATCAAACATTACATTCACTTATATCTCTTTAATTTCCTTTAATCAGGAATATTTCCACAGCCTTTGTCTTTTATGACTTGGCATTATTCTTTGCGTAATCCAAAGAATCATAAATCATGCCAAAGCCAGTTGTCTTGCCAACACCAAAGTGAATTCTGAATCCAAACACAAAGATGACATCTGGTGTGGTCTTAAACATTTTGGCTAGTTTTTCCTGAATTTCTGCCTTGGGTACTATTGCCTTCCCAGGGTGAAGGACTTCGATGACCATTTGCTTCTGTTGAAGTAGTCTGTTGGTCATGAACTTCCCGGTCCAGATAGCCACTGTGTCATTCATGATGAAGGTTCATCTTCAAACAGCCACAGAGGGAAAAAGAGTGGTTTTTTAAATGTAGACTAATCATTTTAAAAAGTTTTAAATCTCACATTCTTTTTTTTTTTTTTAATTCTCACCTGAGGATATATTTTTTTAATTGATTTTAGAGAGAGAGAAAGAGAGAGAGAGAAAAACATCAATGTGGGAGAGAAACATGCATCAGTTGCTTCCTGTATGTGCCCCGACTGGGGATCAAACCCACAACCTAGGTATGTGCCCTGACCTGAAATTGAACCCACAGCCTTTCTGGATATGGGATGATGCTCCAACCAGCTGAGCCACCCAGCTGAGACAAGTGTCACATTTTATTTTATTTTATTTTATTTTTTTTATTTTATTTTATTTTTTATTTTTATTGATTCAGAGAGGAAGGGAGAAGGAGAAAGAGATAGAAACATCAATGATGAGAATCATTGCTTGGCTGCCTCCTGCACACCAGCCATCTGGGACCAAGCCCACAACCCAGGCATATGCTCTAACTGGAAGTTGAACCATGACCTCTGGTTCATAGGTCGATGCTCAACCACTGAGTCACTCCAGCCGAACAAGCATCACATTCTTAATTGCTAAAAGGACAGTAGATCAACATAATCATGTTCATTTAGAAAAATGAAAAAGAATTGCAAGTGTTATTTGCATTGATTTGTAATACTTTGGGCTATTGTCCAAATTTCAACTTTAAATGATTATGTAGATCTTTATAGTCATGGGAAAATACCCATCAAATATTGTTAATAAATCATACTGCAAAACACTATACAGTGGAACCTCAGTTCTCGAACTTAATTTGTTCTGGAAGGCTGTTCAAGAAGCCATTTGTTCGAAAACTGAATCTTTTTTTCCATTAGAAATAATGTAAATTGTAGTAATCTGTTCCAGACCCCTAAATTATTCCCTGTTTTAACCTTTGTTAAAGTCAATACATGTCTAATGTACTGTTTAATCTATAAACAAACAATTCTTGCCCTGGCCAGTGTAGCTAGATGGTTAGACTTGCAGTGGTTTTCAACCTTCCTAATGCCGCAACCTTTCAATACAGTTTCTCATGTTGTAGTGACCCCCAACCATAAAATTATTTTCGTTGCTACTTCATAACTGTAATTTTGCTACTGTTATGAATCGAAATGTAAATATCTGATATGCTCTATGTGTTTTTTGATGGTCCCGACCCACAGGTTGAGAACCACTGGGTTAGAGCCTCAGCCTGCACGCTGAGGGTACCTGGTTTGCAGGTTTGATCCCTGCCCTGTGGGGATTTGACCAATCCATGTGTCTCTTTCACGTTGATTTCTCTCTCTCTCTCTCTCTCTCTCTCCCCCCTTTTCCCTCCCTCCTTTCTACTCTAAGAAAGTCAATGGAAAAGATATCCTTCGGTGAGGATTAACAAAACAAAACAAAAAAACCCAGAGTGGCTTAGTGGTTGAGCCTCAACCTATGAACCAGGAGATCACTGTTTGATTCCTGGTTAGGGCACATGCCAGGGTTGTCAGCTTCATCCCCAGTGCAAGAGGCAGCCAGTCAGTGATTCTCATCATTGATGTTTCTCTCTTTCTCTCCCTTTCCCTTCCTCCCCGAAAGCAATAAAAGTATATATTTTTAAAAAAACAAACACTCCACATCTTTTCTTAAAGTTATCAAACCACCTCCTACAAAGCCTTAAACTAATCACTTTCAGCACTGGTTCCAGGGGTGCAGCATCTTTGCTTTTTCACATATCATTTCCTCTGAAATGCTGTCACAGGCTAAGGGCTTTTCATTTATCCAAATCAACAACAGTTTTTCTACCTCTTCAATTGCCTGTGATCATTGTTTTGTGAGCACTTTCACACCCTTAGCATCATCAGCACACCTGATGGCGTCTTTATGCTTTAAAATTGTGCTAATGGTCCATTTCACCAGCAACAAAAGCAAAAAAAAAGCAAAAATTCACAGCGCAATTTCCTGAGAGGGTGGCCTGAGAGGCTTTTTGCCATGCTGATATATCAACATGAAAGGGTTGTCAGGTCAAGAATGAGTTTTGTTAGAAAACAGACATTTTTTCCATGAACTTGGTTGAGAACCGAATGGTTCGAGACAGAGATCTTTGAGAACTGAGGTTTGACTATAAATATAGATGTACATGTGAAACTAGAAAATTCTTATTGAGTATTTATCTGTGTGCCAGGAACCACTTATGTTCTAAGGGTTTGCATGTCTTTAACCATTTAATCCTCACAGTTAATCCCATGAAATAAATCTTAAACTGAGTCACCAAGAGGTTAAATTACTTCCAAGTCCATGTATCTACACACAAGTATTATATTAGTATGTCTCTTTTGAACTTTATTTATATTCAGCTTCAGTTTGCAAAAAAACTTAAAGCACCCTATATGGTTTGGCTCAGTGGATAGAGCGTCGGCCTGCGGACTGAAAGGTCCCAGCTTCAATTCCAGTCAAGGGCATGTACCTTGGTTGCGGGCACATCCCCAGTAGGGAGTGTGCAGGAAGCAGCTGATCGATGTTTTCTCTCATTGATGTTGCTAACTCTCTATCCCTCTCTCTTCCTCTCTGTAAAAAATCAATAAAATGTATTTTTTTAAAACATAAAACTTAAAGCAACTTCCAACTTTAAAAAAGTTTCATGTAAAAGTTTATTTTGCTATTAAGTGTAGTATTAAAAAGTAGTATCTGTTGTGCAATTTAAATTTTTTAAATATATTTTTATTGATTTCAGAGAGGTATGGAGAAGAAGACAGAGATAGAAACATCAGTGATGAGAAAGAATCATTGATTAGTTGCCTCCTGCATGCCCCCTATGGGGATCAAGCCCACAACCTGGGCTTGTGCCCTGACTGGTAATCAAACCCAGGATCCTTCAGTTCACAGGTCATCGCTTTATCTACTGAGCCAAACCGACTAGGGCTGCTATTTAAATTTTTAATTCATTTTAAAATATAAAGACATTGTCTGTATCTCCTTTTTTAAGTATTGAAAAGTAATTCTCTGCATTCTTTCACAAGTTTTTTACTAACTTGTGATTTACTTTTTTTAACTTGTGATTTAAACCAAGATTATTTTCATTTGTTATTTTCATATTGTAGGAGAACCAGAATGAAAATTTAGTTCATGAAAAATTAATTTTTATACATTTTAATTGGAACATTGATGATGTTAATTTTTTACAATGTAAGTTTTTTTTATCTTTTGAGTGCTTTTAAAATTCAGTATTGTGCTGCTATTGGGACATATGAGCCATATTTTTTATCTCTGCTCTATAAATTTGTTTTTCTTGTTTGTGGGTAATGAAATACACATAACGAAATTTAACTTTTTAAAAGTTTTTGTTGTTTTTTTTAGAGAGAGAGGAACAGCGATGAGAGAGAAATCGATCAGTTGCTTCCCACAGGCGCCCCAGCCAGGGATTGAACCTGCAACCTGGGTATGTGCTCTGATGGGGAATAGAACATGCCACTTTTTTTTTTAAATATATTTTTATTGATATCAGAGGAAGGAAAAAGGAGAGATAGAAACGTCAATGATGAGAGTATCATTGATTGGCTGCCTCCTGTATGCTCCCCACTGGGGAGCATACCTAGCCCACAACCTGGGCATATGCAAACTCGGGACCCTCAGTCCACAGGCCGACGCTCTATCCACTGAGCCAAACCAGCTAGGCCGAACATGCCACCTTTTGGTGTACAAGACAACATTCCAACCAACTGAGCCATGGTGGCCAGGGCATAATTCATCATTTTAACCACTTTTATTTTTTCTTAAAAAAACACTGCATGGCCTTGCAACAGATAGTCAGTGCCAGGCTTCAGTTTCACTTTTTTAAATCTTTATCCCAGGATATGTTTATTGATTTTTAGAGAGAGGAAAGGAGAGAAGGAGAAACATTGATGTGAGAGAGAAACGTTGATCAGCCGCCTCCCATATGTGCCCCAACTAGATCAAACCTGCAACCTAGCTAGGTATGTGCCCTGACCAGGAATCAACCCTGCAGTCTTCTGGTTTATGGGATGATACTCCAAAAACCGAGCAACCAACCCAGGCAGGGCCCAT